ACAAATATAAATCACTATGCATTGCTTATAGTTATGAAACGAGCTCTTTGGATTCCATTATGTTTATATCTGTCTATAAGCAATGCATTTACAAGGTATTGGTCAAAAGATCCGATAGCTTTTTCAATAAGTTATGGACCTTTGGCAAAAAGAAAAAATTATGGAGAGAATCTCAACGCTTAAGTTTTGTTTTTGCTAAAAGTAACCTAAAGTTGATTGATAAAACTATTTAACAATGAGAATTTCCAGTTACAAAGGAAACGATGGATCAATGGGTTAATTGAGCAACTGATTTGTACTCCTTGAGTCTCCTGAATTCTCTAGGTTAGAAGCGCAGTATTTCTACCTTTTTTTGTCAGCACTACAAATTAGTCTTAAGCCAAAATATAAATTTCTTTTAGTTATTTAAAAAAAATTATTTGAATAAAAACAAAAGAAACTGGGTGAGTTGGTTTAATATTACTAAAAAATTTCATAATTTGAAAACTAACCTTGATTTTTAAAATTTTGAAAACTAACTTTTTTAATAAGTGAAAAGACAATAAAACCATTATCATTTCCTATTAATAATGAGAAAAAAAATTCTTATTTAATTTAGATATATATTTAATTTAGATATATATAAGATATTTTCGAAAATTTGTTTATATATTTTTTAATAAATATTTAAAAATACACATGTTATTTTGAAAATATATTCATATTTATCATAAAAATGAATCAAACTCTATAAATATATACACATAAATATCATTTTAGAACAAAGAAAAACTCACACTTCATTCTTAAAAAAAAATGATGGAATGTGTTAAAGTTAACTCATGTTCTATATTTATGACATGTTAAATTTCAAATAAAATCTTCTAAATATCTTTTTGTTTTCTTGTTGTAAATTTTATTCAGATTTTATGGGAATATCCCACACTAAAGTTTTTTTTATTATATAAAATAAAAATAATTGTTTATAATTATCTTTAGAATAACAGATTTTTTTTACAATTTAAATAATTTTTAAATAAGATAAACGAAATTTTAAAACAATTTTAATATCTAAAAAATTGAGGGTATTTTAGTAATTTTAAATATTAGAAAGATTAGTTTACCAACATTTTAAAAAGTGGGTTAGTTTTCAAAATATGATTAATTTATGTAATATTGGTCCAAATTTCAAAACCTAAAAAGAAATCTACAAATATTATTTTTCGCAAATAAGAGAGTTCCTAGTTTGTTGCTTCCCTTGGAAGAAAAAAAAAACAATCATAAGAAAACTGAATTTTGGGTGAATAAAGGCAAAGTGCAACACCATAACCTTAACATTCCCTATTCAGGAAATAAATCTATTAAAAAATAGAAAATAAACAATTCTGCAGAAAAAGCATAAAAGTTCATGCCAGATGCGACCTCCTTGCCTAGCCAGTAGCCACTCACTTTCCAGTTTCCAACTTTTTTTCGTGTTCATACTGTAAGTACCAAAAAGATTAGAATATCCTTTTATAAATCATCAGAAATTCGACGTCAAAACAAGATCATCAGAAACTCACAAATAATTTTAAATGTCCAGACTCAATATATAAAATAAATCCATATACGATGGATAGTATATATTACTGGTTAAACCGAATTACACAATTTACATTCAATTAAAAAAAAAACTTGCACAATTTCCGTCAAATTTTGATTTAGACCATCTGGGAAAAACCAATTTATCACTATCAGGAATAGTTTTCTGGCTTTTTGCCTTGGAACTAATGAATTGATTTATTCTTAGTATTTGATTCGATTAATTTGATATCTATAAGCACGTAATCATACACTTCCGCATCGCGAATTGAACCCATCTTTTGATACACATATGGTATTAACAGTATTTATTATCATCAGTACTAAAATGATATAAACCTTTTTTAAAAAATATTAATATTTATGAGGATGCTGGCGTTCGATCACGAGATTGACGAAGAGAGACAAGGGACGTTAGACGTGATTATAAGATGAAATGAATAGAGACCATTTTGTGGTATGATTCACCACTATTATTGTTGTTATTTTATTCTAGAAACTCGATGTATCATAGTAGTATATGAAAAACTAAGGGCTACTGATGCAGTAGTAGATCACAAACTGGGATGGAGTTTTATCTACAAAGAAATATATTACTAAATTTTTTTTTAAGATAACTTATATACTTGACAATCACGATCTATTCACGATCTTTGTTGTTCCAGTAAATCTCATGTTTTCAGATCTATCCACGATCTTTGAACCTAAACCCAAATATGCTAAAACTCTCAAGTTTGTGATGCCGCTTCCCTGCAGCCAAGACTCTCTATTTATCTTCAATAGATGAGTTGTGAAACCCTACAAGATTTCGGCCTTAGTGATTACTCCAAATCTTCAAAGAAATATTCCTTTTGTCTTGTATATCTTTGGTACAAAATTATTCAGATAAACGAGGAAATAATTTTGTAAGAATTACATTGTAAAAACAATGGCTAATTCTAGAACTAGTAGAATATTCTTCGAGCAAAAAAAAAAAGAAGGAAAAACTCTCCACTAGCTAGTTCCAAAACGCACTCCAAGAGGGGATGAAGAGAAGAGACAAACACAACACAAAGATCAAAAGTGCTCCCCGATCACTCGATGGCCATTCGATTTTGTCGGAATTTTAATATTTAATTTACAAAGCCCAAAATGAGTGTTACCTTCATGTAAGCACCTATTGCAAAAATGGAGTTCAATATATGTACCTGCTTTATATCTACAACGTTGAACACGTTGGAACACAAATTAATACTGAAAGTTATAATTTACAAAATATTCATGCGAGTTTAATATTTTACTAAACTATGTTGCGTTAGATAACATGTGCTTTAGAAATTAAAAAAAATAGCAACGTTAAATCTCGGATGGTTATAGAAAATCTTTATAGATATATATTTGTATCAACAATGATTGCTTGATCTATTTCTGTATTATAATTAAGTTTATTCTTAGTATAAACTAACTAAAAATAAAAGAAGAATGGGAAAAGAGTATTCTAAAACAATTAAAAAGAGAGGAATAAAATGGGAGAATGAATATGAAAGAGATGGGGATAAAAGAAAACAGCTGGAGAGATGGTTTGTGCGTTTTAGAGACGAAAATGCATCGCAAATAGACAATAGTTGCTTTAATTTCAGTACCGCTTTTATTTTTCTCTTTAGTCGAACAAAAATTAATTTGATGATTTTGACAAATACTTATAGGCTTACTCTATCAGAAAGAAATCTGAAATTTTTATAGTATGTGACATTTGCGTGAATTTTTTTAATTGGCATATGTGAGAGACTTTTATGGAGGAACATGTTTGAAACCAAAAATTATTATGTCTTTGCTCGTTCAAAATGATAACAGGCCACTGACTGGATTCTCTTAGACTCTTAGTGTTGCACCACTATATAAGTTGTGTTGTTATTTTTGTTTATTTAATTATTTTCTCTGCATGTGTACTACTACTTTAGTATTTTGTGATTTCGTCATTCACATATACTAATTGAAACAACCAAGTTTTTTTAAAAATAAAAATAAAAATAAATACTAAACAATTTTAACGGAAGTCTTTATTATAAATTCAATAAATAATAAAATTAAATAACAGTATTCAGCGAAAGCAAATAACAATAATAAATCTAGCAACCTAAACACCATGTGATAGCAAGTTAAACAAAAGCAAATAAATAAAAACATCATATCATCCTTTTCTTCGACCTTGATTTCGCGATCACGAGAACATTTTACCTGCAACACATTGTGATAGAGTTGAGTAAGTATTTCATAAATACTTAGTCAGACGATCACTTTACCTACATGTCAATTACGTAATTTACCAGATAATTAAATAATATTAATAATCCTCAACAATTAATTAAATGTCATTTCTCAATTATTAAATAACTCTCTTAATTAAATAATATTTTTCCATAAAATAATTGATATAATTATTTGAAACCAATTAATTAATTAAATAATTCATAGTTAATTAAATCTGAATTAAACCAATTAACTAGATTCAAACCAGAAATCAATTCCATTAAACCAAAATTAAATCAATTTGAACCGGACAGAACCGGCTTGTATGAGCGACACCAGCTTGGTGTCGGTCGACACCGACCACTTTGTAAATCTCCAGAATCAACACTCACATAGCAAGAATAACTCAAATATCACATGAACTCATCAAGAACAACATCAATCAATCACAAATCTAGCAAGTTGCGAGCCTACAATCACTCACTCACCTTGACAATGGATTGAAACGAAGGAAAAAGGAAGAAACAGTGAAGAACAGCCACAAACAGATGCAGATTCGCCCAAGACGTCTCGAATCCGCCTAAAATCGCCTTCTTCTCTTCTCCAAACCCAAAAAACGACAAAACTCCTCTACAACTCGACGGATGCGTCTTTTAAAATGAAAACCAGGGTTTTCTTTGACCCTAACCGGCCCAAACCAACCGAAATCAAACCGGCCGATTTTTTCGATAATAACAAAGCTTCTTTGGTTTACGGATGTTACATTAATAAACAGTGATTCTAATATATAATATATGGTCCCATTGTCGTTTGATATATAGCATATTGTAGGAGATGTTACGTTAAATGCAATTGGTCATTGTATAACACCATTGTTCATTGTATTTTACTTACTTTTAAAGTTGTTTCATTATGATCTGTACCTTTCAGTTGTACCTGTTTTAAGTTGTGTATCATTGTTAGTTTGTCACCATTCATTTCGTTATAAACACAGCTCAAGACAGGATAAAAGAAGTGCAATACTAACATATTGTGAAAAAACGTGTAGATTGGTAATTAATGTAGTACGAATGGACAATCTCTTGGGATTTGGAAAATATTTTAAGTCAGTTTTTTTTCCTGCGTTTTTTTTTTGGGTCGTGCAACGGGAGACAAATGGCCGGTGCTCCGCGCCGTTGGCGGAACTCTGGGGTGTATACTACGGATTGTACATGGCGTGGGAGAAGAGATGTACAAGAGTAGTTCTGGAAGTTGATTCGGAGTTGATGGTAGGGTTTCTTCAGACAGGGATAAGTGACACGCATCCTTTGTCTTTCCTGGTACGTCGGTACCATAGCTTGATTGCAAAGGACTGGATAGTCCGAGTTACACATGTGTATAGGGAGGCCAATTGTCTTGCAGATGGATTGACAAACTATACTTTCTCGCTTCCACTAGGTTATCATTTCTTTGATGTTGCTCCTATGGATGTAGTTTCTATTCTGAACGAGGATGAGCTTGGGTTCACACGGCCTATGCGAGTTTTTCCTGCGTTTTTGTTCCATGGATTCTAGTTTCTACCATATATAATGGCCAGCTTTGTTAATGTAGTTAATGTAGGTTACTACAATTATGTCTCTCTTTTTGCCATTATTTATGTTATGTCTATCAAAATCAAAATTCAGCAAATAATTATCAATTTCAAATACAATCGAGTCACACATGTTTAAGGGTTTTCTGCAAATTAACTTACAAACTAAATTAAATTTATAAATTAAAGCGAGTTTTTTTTAGTGCAAATCAAACCCACCAATTTCAAAGTCACCTGTTACAAAACTAACAACCTAGACATAACACACACGATTAATACTACAAAATATGCAACATGCTACGAAGATGCCATTGTCTATCTTCCTTATGTCGGAAACATCAAAAAGAGCATGATGGCCGGTCTTTTCATACAAGTCGACGATGTGAACTTCCCAATGCGAGAGGAGTGGCTGGTTTGCTGTGAGGAGGCGAGATCGATCTATATCTCAAAGAAATCATCTCAAAAGCATCAGTATTTTAAAGTTTTGATCACTAAATTTTTTGTTACAAAAATCTTGTCTACATATCTTGTATTTGTCTCCCATGAAACTAATTCTATTAGGCATAAAGTAAAAAAGATATTCTAGAAATTTCGCTCACTCGTTACATGAATGTAGACAAATTAGTATTAGTTACATACAGTTATACAGATGGTTCATATTTTTCGAGTGTTATATGGAAAGGGTCATTTTTATTTCTTTTTGAGTTCATATTTTTCGAGTGTTATATGGAAAGGGTCATTTTTATTTCTTTTTGATTAAGTGGCAACTGGCAAGTGGGTGTTTTTTGTTTTTTGCTATTTGGTTTGTTTTGCGTCATATAATTTGAGTGTGAGCCTCCATCATGTTTGGGGCTTTTAGTTTATTCGTAACATCGACACTTTTATAATTTTCCTTTTTATTTATTTATTGACTAATTGATATCTTGTCTTTTCTTCATCTCATGATAGTGAATATTACTACATTTGGCTTTTCTGATACAATCAATGAGTGCATTGTTTATTCCCAGTGATTCCCGCGAGACTAAATCAACCCACTCGGTTGTTTAATAATTACAAAGTGTTTTTTTTGGGGGGGGGGGGGGGGGGGTTGAATTGAATCGTTTATATTTTACATATAATTTGTAAACAAACATATGCAATATGGTTTGATATTTTGAAGAAAATATATTGATGTGATTAAAGATTGTAACCAAACCTATTAAGTCTTTGAAACATGTTTAAGTTCATTGGCCTCATTGTACTTTTGTGTCATGATCAGTATTAGTGACTTCTAAAATTCACAGGTCAAATCGAATCCGTCTATATATTCATATCTTTGGTTCTATCTGCAACATAATTTTTGAGGGAGATTGAAATTGATGGATATTAACTAAAGGAAGAGTTTCTAATATGAGATTACTCTGATGGTGAAATTGATAACTAACAACATTTGGTGTATAATATAATGCACGTTTGTCTTTTTCAAATAATTGATGAAAATCGACAAAACCATATATAGCCAATTAACTAGCCTCTAGCCACTATATTCATGCTTACACAAAAAGTCTAAAACGATCTGAAATGTCTCTTTCACTTGAAGTCTTGAACCACTAGAAAAAACCCCTATCCATGGCTAAACTTGTTGATGGTTTACAATGATATATAACAAAGTGAACAAACTAGACATAAGAAACACGATTAGTACGAAATATGCAAAATACTTATATATTCTGTTAAGCTTTTTGTTGAACACACATAGCCTTTTAATCTTGCAGCAAACTGAAACAAGAGTCATGTTGACATAAAGAGGCTTTTGCTTTCAAAGTGGATGGATGCTGCATTTACGCGAATGAAGGACGTTTGTTTTTGCGATTACGTAAAAGTTGATTGATGGGTTTTATTATTCGTTATGTGAAGTTGCAGAAAGAAATTTGCAGAGCAACAAGAACTCAACAACACAACAACATGGACCACATTCCAAAACTTAACCGGATTGGACCACAAACAGACCACAAATGTGTCTCGTGGTCCCGGTTCATCTTTTAACCGAAAACGCCAGCTTAATGACGAAATTCCAAACCAGACGTGTCAACACACGGTCACGTGACAAAGACCAATCGCTCTAGAGACGAGAGGACGTAACACAGGAGAACAATACCAAATTTTGTCCGGTTTAAAGCTGACTCATATGAATTAGAGAAAACCGGATTTAATAACTGTTTCAATCAACAAAAGCCCTTAAACCCAAACATGTATCTAGAGACAGAAACTATGCCTTCAAGTAGACAAAATTCACCAAAACAAAAGCAGTTAAAAGGAACAAGTGTTTAAAAGATGCAAAGAAAAACAAGCTGGTAAAATGCAAAACTGTTTTTGTTTCTTTGGCAGAGAGGCCAGACAAGAGGAGCTTCAGTTTATCTTTGCGTTTGAGAAGTCCATCTCTGGATGCTGCATGTGGAGGAATCGAAAAAGAAGAAAACCATTCATTAACAAAGTAAGACAATGTGATAAGAATTGAAGATACATATGCTTTAAGAGGATGTGTATTGTTGTTTACCTGAGACATGAATTTCTTCAGAATGTCTTGCTTCTGTAGCTCATCGCTTGTTGGAAGACCCATCTGCTTTTGCCTTTGATCAAACTATATGGATACGAAGAACAAACAAAAGAAAACACTTCAGTGGTTACAAAGGAAATAAAGAAAGCTGATGATTCAAGAAACTTAAAATGGAGAAAGAAGAGGAGGACAAGCACCATCATTTTCTCAACAGTGGAGCGAGTTTCAGGGTCAAGGTCAGCTAATTTGCTGTTCTCTGGCTCAACCTTCTGAGTGTCTATTTCAGGCTCCCCTTTCACACAGCATTTCCACCACTCCATCTGGTCTCGCTTAGTCAACAGAATCGATATCACCTTTTGATCCTCTGCAGAGAATAATATAACATTAAGCAATCTTATTTACCCTCAAATTTCTTGTGCATTGTTTCACTAGGGGTTTAGACAATATTACCGATATTCCAGTAGCAGTCATCAGGCTTCACAGCACCGTAGAGATCTCCCTGTAATCATTGAAAGTTTGCAAGATAAGCAAGATTATCACAGGACGGCAATGGAATAACTTATGATGAACAGTAGCAGAGGGACTTACATCGATGATTGGATCTTGGCCTTTGATACCAAGCTTGATATGGTTCTTCTTGATTTCACATACAACAGATTTTGCTTTAGTGCCAGTAGGCACCGGAACGTTAACTGTGACCTCCTGGAGAGTCTGGACCCATGAGTAGTTCTCAAGATCCATTCCATTACCTTTGTTAGGAACTGCATAGAAACAGATACTCAAATTTAACTCCAAAGAACAAGATATAACCAATGCTCTCATCATAGTGATTTAGTAGGGCCAAAATCATACATAATCAAGTATAAAGTTTCATGTTACAGAGCCTAGAACCTCTTTCCGATATCATAGTTCTTCATACAAGATGAAACAAGGATATATAACACATGATCAAGACTAATCAAACACAAAAGTGAAAACATCTTTCCGTTACTCTGCAGCAAATCAGCCTAATCAAGGTTCTAAATTCGTAGTTTATTCATCAATATCAATCAAAGTTCCAATCCTAAGAGCCTACACTCTTTTCAAGATTCAATTTTTATCAAATTTAGCAAAAAGAAAAAGGTTTGATATTTACCAACGGGACCAGTTTCTTGTTTCTTCTCCTCCTTAGGCTTCTCCACTTCCGAGGGCTTCGAGCTTGAGGCAGCCATAGTCGGCTTCACAGTCTCCTTCTCCACGGGCTTCACGGTCTCCTTCTTCTCCGCAACAGGCTTCACAGTCTCTTTCTCAGCTTTTTTCTCCGCTTTCCTCAGCTTCTCCTTCGTCGCCCTAACAGCGGCGGCGATCTCCTGCTCCGCAGAGACTTTCTTCAGGAAATCGCTCTGTGCTCCAAGAAAGTCAAACACTTTCTCCAAAAACCCTAATGGGTTCGAAGGATCGAACGTCGCCCTAAACGGCAACAACGAGGGTCGGCTGGTGCTTTCTTCTTCAACCTCGGAGATAATCGCCATGGAAGGGGTTTTGCTCTGCTTAGTCGGAAAACAAGGTTTCGAGAGACAAAGTTCGAAGAGTGAATATCCCAAAATTCGATTTTTCAGAGATGAATTTCTTCAATTCAGTCCCCAAATCGAGAGGATTCGAGAAGTTACTTCACAGTTCCAAGTTCACAGCTTGAGAAATGAATACTTTTATCGACGATTGAAATGAAAATTATGTTTGTTGGGCCTTTATTGGGTTCTTCTGGTTTGGTATCTGTTGGCCCATGCCACACTTAGAATCTGCTAACCAAAGAAAATATGATAAACATTTATAAATCAAATTTCTAAGAATAATAGTTGTACCTCAAAAGAATTGAAAAATAATAATAATACTAATATAGTAGAGTTTCCATAAAAATTTGTCAGAGAGAGGAATAAAATAAAATAAATTACCCGTTTGATTTATTTAGTCTCATGAACAATTTATCATGGTATAACAACGGTGAATATACATCCAATACATAAGCTATGCATATTTCAACTATTAATTGTCAAAAAAGAGAGTAGAGTAGAGTAAAAATGTTTGTAAAGTAAATAACAAAACGAGAACTTGATAACAAGTTTTTTTAACAGAAGGTTATATAGTTAAAAGTCAAAACTTAGAGGTAAATTATAAACATACAAAAAAAAAAAAAAAGCGAGGGCAAGAGGCCCCCACCAAAGACCAGCTACAAATTAAGTGCAATTGATATTAAATGCATAGACTATTACATGCAACCACCAAATCAATCTTTCGTACAATCAATCTCACGGTCACCAAAGATGAGAATGGCAATGAAAGCCATAAGTTCCATCAGATTTTCAACTCAACGGTGTTTCTTTCTCCTTAATTTGAGGTTTAATCATACAGAAATGATATGAACCAAAGATTCCACACATTTTAACACGCAAGAACCAGTTATATAACCTATCTAGCTATACCATTAATTTCCAACCAGTAAAAATGTAAAATGGTTAATCACCAATCGTAGTAGTTGCTGGTTTTCATTTTCTTTCGCTAAAAGGTTAATAGTGGTTGGTCGTTACCAAATAAATTCTTCATTGAAAGATCAAGGCGCAAGTTTTGCGGTTCCCGTAAAGAGGTAAGAAAAAGTGCACACCATGCATTAATTAACTGAAAGGAGTTGTCTAAATTTTCAAAGTAAATGTGTGATATATATATATAGTTACAGAGACTAATCGAAGTTATAAAATAAAGTTTAACTAACAAAAGAGACGAAGAAGATTATTTTGTCAGTTTATGCAGACATCAATGAGCAGTAAATTGTACTATGTGTATTGATTGACATCAACTCCACTTTACGTATTTTTGTAGCATATAAGAGGCTTACTATTTGATTGAATGACCAAGAAGATGGTCAGACCAACTTCTATGTTTAGAAACATATAGAGTTTACGTTAAAAGGGAACACTGAATGAATTATTTACAAAAAAAGTTTCAAATAAATTTGATATGTATGAAATCAGTTATGGATCACTGGTCAATATGGTTGGCCCAAATAAATTGAACAGTACCTACCCATGCGTTCGTGGCAGTGAAGAGAGCAATGCTTGTTTTGTTTGTTGTTAGAATAAAGGCAAATAGTAACCATTGGTCTCTCTGGAAAGACTATGAAACCTAACTGGTAAACTAAAACCTTGATTAAAGACTTCAAAAAGACTTAAAACAAATTTTGAGCGGATTACCGTTTGACAAAGGCATTTTCGTGATATATATTTTTTTTTCTCTTTATCGTGTTTGGACGTTTTGTTTTTGTTCGCAAATTTCTGTTTTAAATTCTTTTGGGAAATTGCACTACATATACATCAATAATCCTGAAATTAAATAGATGTTTCTGACAATTTTTTAGTCCACTGTTCATATGGCTGAAGACAATAAAACCCCTATTAAAATCACAACAATCTTGCTAACAATTAGTCTTAAATCTCTCTAACAAATATTATATCCCTCTGCTAATAAGTTGTTAGTTACTTTGCTAACAAAAAATACGTCATCTCGCTAACAAATACTATATTATTTGCTAACAAACATCACATTATCTTGTTAACATAGATTATGTTACCTTGTTAACAAAAATCATGATAAATTGTTTACATTTTGTTGTTAACGAATTTGTTAGCAAGTAATGATTTAAATGTTAACGTATAATGGTTTGAATGTTAGCGTATAATAATTTGAATGTTAACATGATTTCACTAATTTGGTTAATAGATAATGTTAGCAAAAAATGATTAGATGTTAGCACATAATTGTTTAAATGTTATATCATTTGTTTGTATTTGTTATCACGAAATCTTACAATTTATTATATGATATCACTTTTAATGTTTTATCTTATAGGGTAAATATGTATGATTTTACTATATGTATTTGTATTGATTTAATTAACAACTATTATAGTGATATATTTAATTGTCAGATTATCTATGTATATTGCCTAAATTTACCCAATTCTTTTAACAACTACAACACAGTTCAAGGTTTGACAATGACATAGGCCGCTTTTCTATCAACAAGGGCATATACCCACAATGTGAGGGATACTTAATTACCGGTGTGTATTAGTTATAGGTTGATTTTCTTACCTTTTTTTTTTTTTTTTTTTTTTTTTTTTTTTTTCTAATCGTTTGCTTTTGCCTATGCTTCATTTTTTTGGTTAAAAAGTTTTTACATATACTGTATGTACAAAAATTTGACAGCAATACTTTAAAAATATATATTTGAACCACAATTCGTCAATATATAATTTTAACAGAAAGCTTGAGGAATCTTTCAATCCCAATCCTATTCATCTACTACTTAATAAATTGAAAACAACTCCATACTTATAGGACAAATGCGTAGATTTGATTTAACTCGAACTTTAGTACGTGACCAATAGGTATTATAGATCAAGCAGAAATTGAAGAGCAAAACTGATATAAATAGAGGGTGTCAGGGCACAAGAAAAGAGAGAATTGTAGCATAATTGAATTCTGATGGCGAATGAATGAAGTTAGTATAGTGGGTAGAGAGAAGTCAATAAAATTCTCGTATACCTAGGATTCGATTTTTAATATTCTGACTTGACCTCTAGAGTATTTGCAGTTTTGCATAACAATAACAACTTTTGAGATTACGTTTGGGTCTAAAAAAATAAAAAAAAGTATATACATGTTAAAATATACTCCATCCATTTCAAATTAGTTGTCGTTTTGACAAAATGTATCTGCAAATATTTGGATGTATCTAGACATGTTTTGCATTGCAGATACATCCAAATAATTGCAGATACATTTTGCCAAAACGACAACTAATTTAAAACGGAGAAAGTATAATGTATATAATATTATATCCAAGTACTGATGGTGTCATGATTAAAAAAACAAAATATACCGACATGAATACAACACATCCACATGATATATAGTAGCTAACTAAAGGGACCATATGAGGCCACAACTAGAATCCTGTAGTTCATTTATATATAGAGCATAGAGTATAAAGCGACTGTGAGTGAGTAAAAGAACCCACAAAACTTGGAAAGAGCCACAAATAGGTCAAAGTATGGGAGGGGAGAAGAAGACGGCGGAGGAGACGGTGGAGGAGGAGCCACTCAGCCCATGCTCACGGCTGTTCAACTCAACGGACTTTAACTGTGCCATAATCCTCTTAATGGGATGTAAAGTCAAAGGAAATCCATCTGCCATTACCGAAGGCCTTAAACACACCCTCGTTAATCACCCTCGCTTCTCCAGCATTTTAGTAAGTCCAAACACACATCTATAACATTTATATATACGCCAATATATTTCTTTTTGTTAAAAATATTTCACTATTATGTATGTAGAGGCACACACGAGACACCACAGAAAAAAATGAAATAAAATCATTAGATGCATATATCACCACATGTTTCAGTATTTGATCTTTACCCTGTTTATATCATTGTTATAACATACTCTTAACTAAGGTTTAAGAGTCATTAGTTGTTGTAATCTGGTCAAACATGTCTTAATTTATCGTAATTTATACTGTATTAATCATATAATGATTTTTGTTTGTGGACCTTATCTATATATTGATTTTTTTTATTGTAACTGATAAATTTCAGGATATGAAGAATGGGAAGAAAGGGAAACCGAGTTGGGTTCGGACAGAAGTCAGAGTAGAAGAGCATGTGATTGTTCCGGACATAAATCCCGAGATAAAAAACCCCGATCAGTATCTCGAGGACTATATCTCAAAGTTAACGACCGTTCCTCTGGATTTGTCTAAACCATTATGGGAACTTCACGTAGTATGCCTCAAAACATCAAACGCTGAATCCACTGCAATTATCAAGATCCATCATTCTTTGGGTGATGGAATGTCTCTCATGTCTCTTCTCCTCGCTTGCACTCGCAAAACATCGGACCCTGAGGCTTTGCCTACTGTTTCCGTTCAGAAAAAACGATTCGGACCGAGATGCTACAGCGGGGTTTTCAACAAGTTCTTGTGGTTGTTTGTAGGGCTCTGGTTCATCCTAAGATTGGTCTTCAACACTTTTGTCGATATCTTGATGTTTGCTCTGACAATATGTTTCGTGAGGGATACGGAGACTCCTCTTTTGGCCAAACCTGGTAGTGAACTTAACCCTAAGAGGTTC